CCCAGACATCAAAACTCAACCTTCTCCAACATTCTGCAACCTGCTTCTCTAATTCCAAGATCAAAGGGGACCTTTTGTCCAAGTTGTAAAACAGACCAAGAGGCAACTAAATGCCATCTCCTCTGCATTTCCCGGGGGCTTAGGGCCTCCTTTAAAAGAGAAACACATTAACCAAGGCTTGGAACAGGCACTCAGTTCCCAGGATACAGTGGTTCCTGCAGAATATGTGCCAGGTGAGGCAACTCAAGGAACCAGAGAGAAAATATCCCCAACACAACACCCTGGAGGGAGCACAAGAATGGTGACAGGTACCATACAAATCAAACTGCACAGGACATTAGCAAAAGTAGCCGTCAATGTAAGTATTTGTTGCAGAACGTTCCATTTGAACTCAGAAATCATGAAGTCTTTTTTTTTTTTTTTTTTTTTAAGGCAGATCTCTTTCTATAGCCCAGGCTGGCCTGGAACTCCCTATGTAGACCAGGCTGGCAGAACTCCCAGCAATGCATCTGCCTCTGCCTCCTGAGTGCTACCACCCCCAGTTGAAGTTCAAATATTAATGACACATATGACATATACATAAAACAGACCAAGAAAGCCAAATCCATTTGCCAGGCCACACATGAAATCAGTGACTGGACTACAATGAGCCAGGCTGTGGCCTCCTACTCCAGTGCTGACTGATGCTCTGAAAGCCCAAAGGAGACAGCAGCTGCCACCACATGAAACTTCCTGCCTCCTGCTCCAGGACACATCCATCCAACTGCACTATTAGCACTGCCTCTATTGGCTCCAAGGAACCTTGGTGTCAGTCAGTCCATTACTCTGTCCTACATGGAATAAACCCTGCAAAATAGAATAAACTGACCCAGGAACTCTACTACTAGGCATGTATCCCAGACTACTGAAAACATGTTTATGTAAAAATGCACACAAAGTTCACAGCAGTATTATTCCAAACAGCTAATACATGAGACAGTCCCAATCAGCAGATAAAGAGATAAAGAAACTGTGTTCTATCCATACAACAGAATGTTTTAGCCATTTAAAAAGAAGAATAAAGTATTAGGAATGCTACATACAACATGATGAACTTTGAAAGTATCATGGGAAAGTAAATGCAGCTACCTAAGAAAAACCACATATTATACATTCTCTTTATATGAAATGAGGAAAGGTAAATCCTCAGAGACACAGAAAATCAGTGTTTGCCAGGGACTAGGGGGAGCAAAGCCTGGGAATGACTATGAATGCTTCTTTTTAGGTTGATGAAAATGTTCTGGAATTAAACAGTCATTCTCTAAATACACCAAAACCCACTGAACTGTGAACTTTAAAAGAGCTCAGTGTTAGAAGCATTCACTGCCTTTGCAGAGGATGGGGTTTTCATCCCTGAGCCCACAAGGTGGCTCACAACCATCTGTAACTCCAGTTCCAATAATCTCTTTTGGTTCCCTCAGGCACCAGGCATGCATATGGTACACATATATACATGTAGGCAAACACATAAAATTTAAAAAGATCTTTTAATAAGGAGCGATTTTGTGGTATATGAGTAATATCCATAGAGATAAAACTATAACAAAAGCTGATACAGTGTGAGGGAGGAGATATCTAAGGGAAATAGAGTATTATGTGCCTATGAATGTACTCAATGGGTATTTCCCAAGTTCCATTAAAATATTCCCAAGAGCAGTTTTCTGTAATGAGATATGAGCCTGCTTCTCAATTCTGACCCAGCCAGATGAATTCTATCCTGTAACTTTATAGGGTGGTCTAAATCCAGGGCAGAAGGCAAACTCCTGGCTTCTTTTCCCTATAGCCAGAGAAGTCTTACTCTGTAGATTCAGGAAACACTGTTATGCTTAGCAGACCTGGGAGACATCTGCACAACTGGTTAAGAGAGGGAGGGGGAAAGCCCTTGACTGTATACCCACATCTCTAACTTTCAAAGCAAACAACCTCCCCAAACTCTAGCCTGTTCACATGGCCACTGAGTCCACTAGCTAAGTTCCTCTTCGCATGACTTGCCTCAGAAGCTGATTCACCCCAAATTAGATCTATATGCCCCTCCCAAAATGGTTGTGAAATAGCTTATGTGTATGAGGGCGTGGGGACAGTTTTGACTTCTGTGCAGTAAAGTGCTTGGCACAGACCAATTTCACACCTACCTGTGACTCCACATACACCTCTATACAAACTTGCTTCTGTGCCTTTTCACTAAACATGCAGTTTCTTGTGTGCCTTTTAAACTGCCTCTGCATACAACATAGTCTCCATTTATATATCTATTTATTTATTTAGAGCCAGGGTCTCTCTCTATAGCACTAGCTCTTCTGGAACTCATTAGACCAGGCTATCCTTGAACTCACAGAGCTCCACCTGCCTCAGCCTCCCAGGTGCTACATTCTCCATTTATTGAAATGCATTAAATTAGTTTCCATGGTCTGTCTGTACACTAAGAACAAGATGGCTCCCTTAATGTGTTCCCCGAAGGAAGTGAAGCCAGCCTAACAGAACCATCTATTTCAAAACACAGTACACGGACTGCAAATTGTGAGCTACAACCCACACCAATCACAAGCACACTTCTAGGAACCATTGTTCTTATCTGTCTCCAATTTGTCTTTGATCACAGTCTCCTGCCCCACCTTTCCCCACGTTTCTGGTGTTCTAGCCTTCTGTATATTCCTTAGAGTACCATTGGATCTTCACACTTTGCCTGGGTCATTCTCTGCGTGGCTGGTTCTCTGTGGTCAACGGAGCCTCAATTCCTATCACTTCCTCTGAGGAGATTCTGACAATCCCAGGTATGTCAGCACCAATCACCACTTCACCGTGCTGTCTTCAAAGAACCAGACATTATTCTACTTGGGCGCTGCTCACTGCAGGTTTCCTCGAATGAGAGAAACCCCACAAGGGTGGGACCCTGACCCTCTGATAACTATACACCTAGTTCCTGGCACTAACTGGGCACTCAAATATTTGCTGATTAAATAAATGCATACTAGAAATACACATCGCTAACTTATAAACTCTTAAAACTCCGTACAGGGCTGGAATTTCCCAGTGCAGTGCTATAAATGACACTTTATTGAACTCTCTATGGCCAAGAAAAGGTGTGACTTCCTGTCCTCACATCAGCCTTGCTCTGAAGGTGATAAAGGAGAAAAAGGTTCAACATTACACTCTGAGGATTTGCCCCACTTCATTCATTCAGACTAAAGCCTGAGGCCACAGAAACCAGCTAAAGCTTTGAAACATTTCCCCCCTCAAACAGTGCCAGAGGATCAAACTCAGGCTCTTGTGTAGGCTCAGCAAGTGCTCTACCAATGAGCTACACTCCCCCAAGCTATGAAATCTTTTACCCAACTTCTGAGTTTATAAACAAAGAATTTTATTAAAAAAAAAAAAGAATAAGATAAATTAGCAATCTGCTAACAGAAGGGAATCCTTTCAGTTAATTAACCTGGCCCTGGTTAGAGTAAACCAACACCAAATAGTTTAAGCAAGAATTTTCCTTTGGTAGAGTCAAATGTCAACAAGCTTTTTCTCTGAGTCTTTCTTGTCATTCACTACCAGGATGAAACAAAATTTATCTTCTGAGGAAGCAATATACAGGACTACCCAGGAAAATTCACTTTGGATCTTTGTTCTTATTCCTTGGCAAATAGAATTTGAGCTGAACTTCTCAGGGAAAAAAAAAAAAGCCAGTCCTTCAAAAACTTAACTCTGTGGTTCCATAACAGAAGCCAGCAAGTTGTGACCCACTCTCCAGGCACAGCTCTGTTACCTCCACTCTCATCCGTAGAGAGACTTAATTCTAGTCAGCTTCATGAGAGTGAGCCGTTCACCTGTAAGGAGCTGTATGGCATGGCATGGGAAGAGGATGCAGACAGGTAGGGCCAGAGGTGTTTTTAAACGGTAGTACAGGCACCACCTCCATTATAATCACAGGACAACTTGTGAAAGTGTAGATTCCTGAGCATTGCCTAACCTCAAGGAATTGCACTCCTTGGGAGTGAGGCTCAGGAAACTGCATTTTAACATGCCTCCTCACCCACAACCCAAGATTTCCATGCACAGTGAAGTTTAAGAACCAATCGGATAAAAGCACTTTAGGAGAGGTAACGAGTTTGACAGAAAGGCAGGAGGAGGGAAGGGCCTGGGGATGAAGATGGGCACAGGATACCCTGGTACGGCAGCAATCAAGCCGGGTGCAGTATGGGGACTGCTGAGGGTGCATTTAAGGACAGGGCTTGGGCTAAGAGGCTGCTCCGAAGTGAGGTAGCATCCGCAGACTGGTCAAGATGATGGGCATGTGGGGAGAGATGAACGTGAGGAGGAGGAGCGAAGGCAGAAATAACGGGGGATTCTCGGAATGAGACAAGGCCCGGAGGTGAAAATTGGGAAATAGAGGTGACAAGGGGGCGGGAACGTAAGCCGAAATGAGAACCGCGGAGACATTAGCTGAGGTCTTCCTTCCAAGCGGCACCTCCCCTAAAACTCCAGGCCCTGACAAGCCTAGGTGGAAGCCAAGGCTGGAAAAAGGGATTTTGTGAGAGGCCACCCCAGTCAAAGGTAACCCGAGCAGGGGTTCTGCAGGAGGCTGGGGACCAGGCATGGGGTGCCGGAAGGTCCTGGGCTATCCAGGGGGCCCTGCTCCAGGTCCGGTTCCCGGAGTCTCCTTCACTCACCATCGCCGCCGCCATCTTGGATCCACGTGTCGCCGTGATGACGTCAGCGGAAGTGGTGCTTCCGTGGGTACGGACTGTAACTCCACGAGCGGGTCGCCTCGCTTCGGTTGCTTCTGTAGCCGCAGCAGTGAAGAGGTAAAGGAGACTTAATTTCTCCTTGACAAACTGGTCTTAGCAGTGAGGTCTCTGACTAGGTGAAGAGAGAGGGCGGTGCAGCTATTGGAGCCATATTAACTCCTGGCAGACACCGCTCCTCCCCCTACTCCTTTTGCACTGTGGGTAATTGGGGTGTGTGGAAACATGCGCGCTCTCTGGATGCCATCTTTATTATTGGCAGAGAGATCCGTTGCCAGGGTTACCCGAGACTTTAATTGTGAGACAGAAGGCTTGGTAAACCGTCTCTGACAGCAGCTGGATTCCAAGTAATTTGTAATTATGTGTTTAAATATTTATTTGACTATTATGTATCCCATAATACTGATCGGTCGTAATCCCTATGAAGGTAGGACTCAGTCTATCTTTTTACCTTGCCCTGCCTTTTTCACATCTGTAAAATGGGGCAGAGATTTCTAGATTACTTTCATAATTGAATTACGTTGAGTATTCACTGATACAATCTTACAAAGGAAGTGTTCGATAAATAAATGTTATTATGTGATTGTGTACATTCCCTCACACAGACGGTAGGTCCCTCAAACAACGCACTTTGTTAAATGAGTGAATGGGTTAGCGGAAGGACATCTTTTGTAAAGACATCTTTTGTTGCCGTTTCAGAAAGTTGATATAATGAACTTGTGCTGCTTGTGTTCTGCTTCTGTAGCCCCGTCTGCTTACCTGCCGGCTCCCCGGTTTGGAAACCTCCACTTCTGAGCTGTAAAAACCTTTGTCTTCCTCATGTCCAATGCTGACCTGATTTTAGGGAGAGACCGCCAATGTACACGAATAAAAAAGGCTTGCTTTGATTAATTTGGCCGTGATGATTTGGTTGGGTGCTCTTTCTCCTCTTATCTGTGGGACTAACATGTCCTGGTTAGTTTTTATTGTTAACTTGGCACAACCTAGAGACACCTGGGAAGAGGGAATGCCAACCGAAGAATTTCCTCAATCAGTTTGGCCTCTGGGCATGTCTGTGTGGCATTTTCTTGATTATTAAATGATAACAAAATTCTTCTATTTTACTTTGTTCAATTTTTTTTTTTTTTTTTTTTTGAGACAGGATTTCACTGTGTAACAACAGCCCTGGCTGTCCTGAAACTCATTTTGTAAACCAGGCTGGCCTCGAACTCAGAGAGATCTGCCTGCCTCTGCCTCCCCAGTGCTGGGATTAGAGGCATGCACCACCAGTTTGGAAGGAGACATCTTTTAATGCGGACTTCTCAATTCTGACTGGCTTAATGTATGACATGAAGTAAATCACTTAACCATCTTAAACTTCAGGTTCCAGTATTGGCTTAAGGGGTAGGTGGTAGCATACGCCTTTAGCCTTTAATCCCGGCATTTGGGAGGCAGAGGCAGGTGGATCTCTGTGAGTTCGAGGCCAGCCTGGTCTACAGAGCTACAACCAGGGCTCCATAGAGACACCCTGTCTTAAAAGAACAAAAACAACAAAAAAAAGGTGGAGGTGGGGCTTGGGGGTGGGAGGGAAATGACTCAGGATCATGGAGAAAGACTTCATTTGGTTCACATATATCATTGTAAAGTGTGTACCGAGTGAGCGCTGTCTTCTCAGATGGATCCAAAAAGTTGTTAAAAGAGTAGTAACGGAGTTGGGGATTTAGCTCAGTGGTAGAGCGCTTGCCTAGCAAGCACAAGGCCCTGGGTTCGGGCCTCAGCTCTGGAAAAAAAAAAAAAAAAGAGTAGTAACGACGTCTGTGGATATAGTTCACTTGGTGGAGCGCCTGCCTAATCCTTAGCACCACATAAATGTGGCATGCTAGAGCACACTTATAATTCCAGAACTCTGAAGGTAGAGGCAAGAAACATTCACAGTCATCTTGGGATACATGAGACCTTGTCTCGATGATGATGATAAATCAGCCAGGTTTGGTGGCTTACACTGGTAATCCTAGCACTCAGGATGCTGAGGAAAGATGGCTGTGGTGCGTTCAAGGCCAGCATGCATTAGATAGTGAGTTTTAGTCCAGCCTGAGCTATAGAGAAAGCCACTGGCTAAAACCATGCCCCCCAAAAGAACACTCAGCATTGCTGAATGCTATAGCTCTTGCTACTGTGCCAAAACAGTTCTTAAGATTTTTAGATATCTCATTCTGCATCTTGGCAGGGATCAGTTGAACTCTGACCACCACTGTGGTCAACCCTGATCACCACTGTAGTAGATTCTTTTGCATAAATGTCTACTGACAGTCTTCTCCTCCTTGTTTGAGCATGCTGGTTCTCCCATCAAAAGGTGGACTTTTTCCCTCTTGTTGAATATGATGGTCAAGTACTCAATAGAATGAGGTACAAGTGTCTTTCAGTTCTGCACCTAGGCTTTAAGAGATTTGGCAGCTACTTCCACCCAAGGGTATAAATAAGGCTAGGTGTTGTAGAATATTATTTTAAGATGTGTTACATTTGTTTATGCTGTGGAACATTTGTTTAATAATGCAAAGATGTGTTGCATTCTTTTATGTTGCATTTGTTTAACTCTGTGGAGCTGTGATTCTTTGCCTGTTTAAAATACCTGATTCTAATAAAGAGCTGAATGGCCAATAGGTAGGCAGAAGAAAGGATAGGTGGGGCTGGCAGGCAAAGAGAATAAATAGAAGGAGAAATCTAGGAGGAGAAGAAAGCAAGAGAACAAGGAGAGGAGGATGTGAGGGGCCAGCCACCCAGCCACAAAAGCCACACAGTAAGAGTGAAAGCAAAATATACAGAAGTAAGAAAAGGTAAAAGCTCAGAGGCAAAAAGGAGACAGGATAGTTTAAAGTTAAGAAAAGCTGGCAAGAAACAAGCCAAGCTGAAGCATGAACCTAATTAGACTTAACAATAAAATCCTGGAAGCAGACATCGAGGGTGAAAGTGGAAAGTTCAGAGAAACAGAGCAGCCAGTCACTAGATCCTTCTTACCTCAGACTGAATGGGGGCTCATCCTGTATCTACCCACCTTATATTCCTATCTCTACCTCCCTAGTGCTGGGATTAAAGACATGCACCTCCCAAGTACTGAGATCAAAGGCATGAGACCCAAGTGCTGGCATAAAAGGTATGAGCTACCAAGCACCACCCAGCTCTGTTTCTCTTTCAGACTGGCTCAATCTCATGTAGCCCAGGGTGGCCTTAAACTCCTCATCTTCCTGCTTCCTCCTCCCAAATGCTGAGATTAAAGGTGTGTGGCACCACTGCCTGGCCTCTATGGTTAACCAGTGACTAGCTCCGCCCTCTGATCTCCAAGCAAGTTTTATTTGTCAGAACACAAACAAAATATCATACAACATCAAGCTAAGGCCAGGCATTTATAATTAAGAGTAAGCCTTCATATGTGATTTATTTGGGAGCTGGGTGGTGGGCCCCCCCCAAAAGAGCAAAAACAAACAACATTTTGGCATTCCAACATGGGGCTAGAGTAAAAGAAAATCTAACAACAGCTAGGTGTCCTGCTGGAGAGCCCTATAAAGAGACAGGTCCTCTTTGTTCCTCAAGGCATTCTAGAAGCTCTACCTGACATTACACATATGAATGAAATTAGTTTGGAAGTTCAAACCTAGCTGAACTACTAACTAAAGATAATGTGATGTGACTAACCTTATTGACACTGTGTAGAACAAAAGAACTACTTGGTTGAACCTAGTTGATTTAGGGGATGGCTTGTCATGTAGCCTGAAACACAAACCCGTAAATGGTTGTGCTCATCACAACCATCCCAAAGAGCAGATATATTCCCAAAGGGCAGGGAGCTAGAAAAAATGGGAAGGATTTACCAGAGTCTTGCAGTAACACTGCAGACTTGTGACCAGTTCTACTGCAGCTTAAATCCTGGAAGTCTCTTACGACTACATCTGCTTAAAGAAGAATACTGACAGGGCTGCAGAGATGGCTGTTCTTCCAGAGGATCAAGGTTCAAGTCCCAGCACCCACATGGCTGCTCATAACTTTCTGTACCTCCAGTTTCTAGGGGATCTGATGCCCTCTTATGGCCTCCGCAGGCACCAGGGATGCAAATGGTGCACAGTCATATGTGCAGCAAAATACCCTACACATAATGTAAAAGAATATATTTATAACAATAAATACATATATTCGAGACAGCGTTTCTCTGTGTAGTCTTAGAACTCACTCTGTAGACCAGGCTGGCCTCAAACTCAGAGATCCACCTGCCTCTGCCCCCTGAATTCTGGGATTAAAGGTGTGTGCCACCACTGCTCAGCTCCAATATTGTTGACTTTTAAACATTTTTATTACATATATTACATATTTTGTGTGTGTGTGTGTTTGAGAGTGCACATATGACTACATGCCTTGTTGCACATACAGAATTTAGAGGACAGCTTTCAGCAGTTAATCCTCTCCTTCTACAATGTGGGGCCCAGGGATTGAACTCAGATCTTGAGGCTTGACTGCATGTGTCTTTATTCACTGAACCATCTGGTCTGCTCAGTATTGTAGATTATGTTCACAGCATGTAGTGTCTATTGCTGTTACATTATAACCACAAACATATATGCTAGTTTGAAACTCTCAGCTTACTTAACATAGTTGCTCAAGTCACTGATGAGCAGAGTCCTGACAGGTCTTCATTATTTTGAGTTTCGTCTCTTGATGTTCTCTGTGCTAAAGCAGTTCCTCAGTTGCACAATCTCCACCTCAGCTTTCCTAGTGCTGGGATTATAGGCATGTGCTGCCATACCTGGCATTCTCTCTTATATCATTCATGAATATGAACAAGTTCTAAACCTGTATTCATGTTGGAACTCTGTCTAGAAAGGGTATGGCATCAAGCAAGTTAGTATCATGAATATCTGAAGCTTTTTCAGTGAGCAATCTGGGAAGACACATCTCTTAGAGCAATAGTTCTCAACCTTCCTAATGCTGTAACCTTTTAATAAGTTCCTCATGTTGTGGTGACCCTCAACCATAAAATTATTTTCAATGCTACTTCATAACTGTGATTTTGCTACTGTTATGAACTGGAATGTAAACATCTGTGTTTTCTGATGGTCTCAAGTGACCCCTGTGAAAGGGTCGCTTGACCCTCCAAAGGGTTGTGGCCCACGGGTTGAGAACCGCTGCCTTAGAGCCTGCCCATCCAGGAGAGGAAGCTGGACTCAAAAAAGGAGCACTGCTCCCAAAGGGTGTTAATTCCATGGCACTTTCAGCATTCTGGAAACACTAGCTCCCGAGGCTTTTGCAGTATAAAATATACATAATACATACACCCCAGGCACAGTAATGCATACCAAGGCAGAAGAAAGCCCAGCCCATTCTAAGAGAAAGGAGTCCTGGCCTAGGAGGTAAAAGCCAGGGGCAGGACAGACCAAGCTGAAATGGTGTCAGTACTCTGAACTCTACTCGGGGATTTAGTCTCCACCCAGCATTATCAGCCTGTTGGTTCATTCATCTTCCTCAGAGTCTAGTATGGCAGCTAAAGAAAGCTGTTATAGGCAGAAGGCCGAGGTAAAAAATAAGGGACAAACAGCCTATATCAGCTGACTTATAAAAAGTTAGGAATGGGGCTGGAGAGATGGCTCAGAGGTTAAGAGCACCGACTGCTCTTCCAGAGGTCCTGAGTTCAATTCCCAGCACCCACATGGTGGCTCACAACCATCTGTAATGAGATCTGGCGCCCTCTTCTGTATACATACTAAATAAATAAATCTTTAAAAAAAAAAAAAAAAGTTAGGAATGCCCCCTGCTGTTTCCACTCACAGCTCACAACTACCTGTAACTCCAGTTCCAGGGGACCTAATGTACCTAATATACTCTTCTGGCATCTGTGGGTACTACACGCGCACACACACACACACACACACACACACACACACACACACGCACGCACACACACACACACACACACACTACATCTTTATTTATTTATTTAGCCAGGTGTGGTGGTGTACAATCTTAATCCCAGCACTTGGGAGGCAGAGGCAGGCAGATCTCTGTTTCAGACCAGCTTGGTCTACACAGTGGGTTCTGGGCCAGCCATAGCTACAGAGAGAGACCTTGTCTCAAAACAACAGCAACAATAACAACAACTGTAGTAGTACTTTCTCTTAGGTACCACCAGCCTCACAACTGCCTGTAACTCCAATTCCAGTGACCCAATGCCTGTAATCTGTTCAGGTACCCAAACTCACATGCAGATAGTCATACACAGATACATACACATATACCTGTGATTAAAAATAAATCTGTAAAACTAATAACAAGAAAAAGACTCCAGAAGCCATAGGGTGTGGTTCATGCCTGTAATCCTAAAACTCAAGAGGATCAGCCAAGAAGCTCACTAGTTTGGAGTACATAATGCTTCCCAGAGGAGCCTCAGCCGCTTACTGTCTCCTGTCTCGATGGTATGGGTGAGAGGGGGGCTCCTGAAAATGACTGCATACACTTTTACTTAAAAATCATTGACCACATTTTTTAAAAAATTTATTTTATTGGTGTTTTGCCTGCATTATGTCTGTGTGAGAGTGTTGGATCCCCTGGAACTGGAGGTACAGACAATTATGAGCTGCCATGTGGGTGCCGGGAATTGAACCCAGGACCTCTAGAAGAACAGCCAGTGCTCTTCACTGCTAAGCCATCTCTCATTAATTCCACGTCTTTGTTTTGCTTTGAGAGGGAGAATCAGTATGACCTTCATCCTAGGTGATCACGTGGCCCTGAAAAATAAATGTTTTTTTTTTTTTTTTTTCTAGAAGAACCAGACTGGATATGAAGACAACAGTCAATCCCTGCAAACCCTTGAAAGGGAGGGAGACAGAAGGAAAACTGATAGAGCCTCATGTCACAATATACCATGGTGGGGACAGATGCATGAAGAAATTGAGGCCCCAGGTAGGGAATGTGGAGGTAGATTCGTTCTAGATCACAGGGTAAGATGAACCAAATGCTGCTCCTGCACCTTGGCTCAGTGGCACTCAGTTGAAGTAGGCCACCTGTGACTTTCCTTCCTGCCGCCACCTCCTAGGGGATGAATGCTTACTGTTTTCCTGCAGAATGGGAAACAAGAGATGTGTCCCCACATTTTGTGGTTTGTTTAATAGATAGAAGTTTTTTTTTTCGAGATGAGGTCTCACTATATAGCCAGGAACTCTACACCAGGTAAACCAGATTGGCCTTGAACTCACAAAGATCCACCTGCCTCTGCCTCCCAAGTGCTGGGACCATACCCAGCCTAGACTTAATTTTTAATTTTTTTAATTTTAACATCAGTACTATGATTTGAATGTGTCCTCCAAAGCTCATGTGTTGAGAACTTAATCTCTAAATGCAACAGTGCCTAAAGACCTGACATTTAAGGGGTGAAAGAGAGCAGGGGATATAGCTCAATTGGTAGAGTGCTTGCCTACTAAGCATGAAGTCCTGGGTTCATTTCCCAACACTGTGTAAACCTTTGACGCATGCCTACAATCCCAGCACTCGGGAGGTGGAGGCAGGAGGACCAGAAGTTCAAGGTCATCTTCAGCTACATAGCAAGTACCAGGATACCCTGGGAGCTCCTGTCTCAATAAACAAACAAGAGGGTTGGTTCCCGATGGGAGGATGACTTTGGGCCCCTACATACCTGTGCACCTTTACAGGTGCACTTCCATTTTCAGTGGGATGATACAAGAAGACCTTTGCTATATGCGGGCCCCTCAACCTTAGACATCTCTGCCTCTAGAGCTTTTTATTTTTTGACATGAAATGCTTCACAGATATGTGTGCCATCCTTGCACAGGGGCTGTGTTAATCTCTTTATTGTTCCAATCTTATTATACATGTTGCTGAAGTGAGAGTTCTGCCCCTAGAACGCCTAAGAAATAAATTCCTACTCTTTACAAATTACTTAGCCTCAGTAAGTCTGTTAGAGCAATACCAAATGAACTGAAGCAAATTTAAGTGTAGAGTATTGAGTGGATAGAACAGAGGTCCATGTAACTTTCCATCCTACACTTGTTTTTTTTCCCCTGTTATTAACACCTTGCATGGGTGGTCCATTTGTGGAAGCTAATCAATCAATCGTGATGTATTACCAACTCCAGTCCATACATTACCTCAGGGTCTCCTGCTCCTCCTCCTCTCCTTGTCCTTTTACTCCTTTTTTTTTTCCTGACAGGGTCTTACTTTGTAGCGTTGGCTGTCCTGGAACTCACTATGTAGACCAGGCTGGCCTTGAACTCACAGAGATCTGCCTGACTCTGCCTCCCGAGTGCTGGAATTAAAGGTGTGCGCCACCACACCTGGCTTTGGGTCCACTCTTTGTGACATACTTTCAATGAGTTCTGACAGAGGCTTAATTGGTAAGTAGCCCCTGCTATGGTACCATACAGAACAGTTCACTGCCCTAAAAACTGCCTGTGTTCTATTTGTTCCTCGATTCTTCTTCTCAAATTCTTAGCAACTGTCTCCCAGGTTTTCCATTTTCAGGATGTCATGTGGCTGAGATCTATAGAGTGTAGCTTTACAGACTGGTTCTCCCCCCACCCCGTTGTACTGGGGGTGGAACCTAGGACCTTGTGTATACCAGGCAAAGGCTCAACCACTGAGATCCCCAGAACCAACTTGGCTTCTTCCAGGAATTTCCTAAGATTCCCTTTTTTCTTTTCGTGGTTTAATACCTGATTTCTTTTTAGTGCTACTAATCCGTTACAGAGTTTCCTTATTCCCCTTTGAAAGGCCATCTGCTTGCTTTGGTAACAATGAGGGCAGCTGCTCTGACTGTCCTGTGTGGATTCCTGTGTGGACACACATCTTCGACTCATGTGAAACAGCAGGATACCCGCTGATGACTCATGCAGTTAAGAGCTTGTTTGATTTTGGTAGAAGAGATATTGGGTCATCTTCACAAGTGACTGCGGGGTCCTGAGTTCCTGCAGCACTGGGCAACTGTGTCCTGCAGCTGGGTTTGGTGTCATCAGCGTTTGGAGTCTCCGTCACTCTAAGTGTGTTCTTGTCATTTAGTTATTGTCTCCCCAATGACACATGATGTAGAACATCCTTCTCATGCTTCTCTGTTGTATGTGTGCCTTCAATGAGGAGCCTTTTCCAATCGTGCTCATTTTGAAATTGAGTTGTTTTCTTATTATTGAGTCATGAGAACTCTTTGCATATTTTAGATACTAGTCCTGCATTAGATACATGTTTTGAAAACATATTCTTCAAGCTTAGGATTTGTCTCTCTCCTTTCTTCCCTTTTGCCCAGGCTGGCCTGACATTTGCTCTGTAGCCCAAGCTGGCATGGGATTCATAGCAATCCTCCTGCTTTGGCCTTGCAAGTGCTGGAGTTACAGGGATCAGAACTTCCGACTATACACAAGGTCATTGAGTCAGTTCCTTCTTTCCTACTATTTTATCTAACATTGACTCATCCCTCTGATCACAGAAAAGACAGATGAAAGCATGGAGACAGATACAATACCAAAAGCATAGTCTGTGAAAGAAAATTTATTCTGAGGCAGGAGGATTGCTAGTACTCAGGAACTTGGGGTTAGCCTGAGCAACATAGCAAGACCTTGCCTAAAAAAAGGAGGAGGGAGGGGACAGAGTGTTGAGTAAAGTGCTTGTTGTGCAAGCCTGACAGACTGAGTTAATCTGAGTTCAGATCCCCAGAACCCACATAAGAAGCTAGGCATGGGCCAGGCATGGTGGGCACGCCTTTAACCCCAGGGAAGCAGAGGCAGACAGATCTCTGTGAGTTTGAGGCCAGCCTAGTCTACAGAGTGAGACCCTGTCCCACATCCTTCCCCCGCTGAAAAAGTAGCTGTATGCAAGTAGGTGCAAGCATCAGTAGCCCAGCACCCCTCTAAATGGAAGCAGAGTCTGTGGAAGCTTTCAGGGCTGCTAGCCTGGCACACAGAGATGAAAACATCAAGACACCCTGTCTCTTTTTTTTTTTTTTTTTTTCCGAGACAGGGTTTCTCTGTGTAGCTTTGCGCCTTTCCTGGGACTCACTTGGTAGCCCAGGCTGGTCTCGAACTCACAGAGATCCGCCTGGCTCTGCCTCCCGAGTGCTGGGATTAAAGGCGTGCGCCACCACCGCCCAGGAGGACACCCTGTCTCAAATAAGGTGAAAGGTCAAAGTGAGGACCTACACTTGAGGTTGTCTTCTGACCTCCGTATGTGTACTGCTGTGGTGTGCCCCCGCCCGCAAACACAGACACACAATTTTTTAAAGGATTTTATTTATATGTATGTATGTTTTGCCTGCATGCTGGTGCACCATATGCCTGCCATTCTTGAGGAGGCCAGAAGAGGGCATCCAATTCCTTGGAACTGCAGTTACAGATAGTTGTGACTAGGAGCCTAAACCAGGTCCTCCACAAGAGCAGTAAGCTCTTAACCAGCTGTCTAGCCCCCAACACAGTATGTTTTGGTTAACTGCACTTCATTACAATTAAAAAGTGGGATTGGCAAGATAGCTCAGCAGATTAAGGCAGTTGCCGCCAAGCCTGAGTTCAACCCTGGAACCCACATGGTGGAAGGAGAGGACCAACTTCTACAATTTGTCCTCTGACCTCCACATGAGTGCTGCGACACATGTCAACTAAATAAATAATAAATAGGTTTAAAAATTAAAAACTGGGGCTGGAGAGATGGCTCAGAGGTTAAGAGCACTGGCTGTTCTTCCAGAGGTCCTGAGTTCAATTCCCAGCAACCACATGGTGGCTCACAACCATCTGAAATGAGATTTGGCACCCTCTTCTGGCCTGCAAGCATGCATGTAGGCAGAACACTGTATACATAATAAATAAATAAATCTTAAAAAAAAAAAAAGAAATCTTTTAAAAAAAAAAAAAATTAAAAACTGGCCTGCACCTATAATCCAGGCCCTCAGGAGGCAGAGGCAGGAGGATCAGGAGTTTGAGACCAGTGTGGGCTACACAGTGAGACCCTGTCTCAAAAACAGTAATTTAAAATTTTGCAAAGGACAAATTGTTAAGAAAACGAAGCTGGGACTGTCTTAGTCAGCCATTACCATAATATGCATGTAACAAAACAGCCCCAGAAAGCAAAAGCTCGTGATAATTATTTCTCCTTCGCGTGTCTGAAGACCAGCTGGGGTTCAGCCTGGACTGGGCTCGGTTGGGTTTGGTGCCAGCCTGAAGGCTGGTCCAGGTTTGCTCCTCCTGTCACTCATTTTCCTTAGGTCACATTCTAATCAGGAAGAAGGCTGGAGGATGAGATCAGAAACAACATTCTAAACCTGTTTCCTTTGCTTTTGCTAATGTTCCATTGGCTGAAACAAGTCTCATGGCTGAGCTCAACATCAGCAGGACGGGGACGGGTGCTCTTCACATGGATTACTGAATGGAAAGAGAACACATTTTTTTTTTTTCGGTTTTTTGAGACAGGGTTTCTCTGTGTAGCTTTGCGCCTTTCCTGGAACTCACTTGGTAGTCCAGGCTGGCCTCGAACTCACAGAGATCCGCCTGGCTCTGCCTCCCAAGTGCTGGGATTAAAGGCGTGCGCCACCACCGCCCGGCGAGAACAAATTTTTATTGCAAAGTTGTGAGTAAGATCCTGGGCTTTGCTTTCAGACTCCAAAGTATGTATTCCAAACCACAAAGCAGCAGTGCAATCAATTAGGTTACAGACGAGGTAAGTTGTGGTGTGTGTATGTGTGTGTGTGTGTGTGTGTGTGTGTGTGTGTGTGTGTGTGTGTATTATAAATGAGATATACATGTAAACATATATATATATATATATATAATATATATATATATGCTGGTTTTAGATTTTGTCCATGGTTCCCACTTTATAACTCCCTCCTGAAATCAAGTCATAAAAGCTAAACTATGTCTTCTCTAAGTAGGTCATAACAACCCTTATCATTCCCCTGCCTTTCTGTTTGGGAGCTGGCCATAAATACTCTTGTTGTGTAGTATGTGATAAGGACCTCCTCACTCCAGTGGGATCCTAACCCATAGCCTGAAGGTAGGAAAGCCCCGTGGAGAGGACACACACACACACACACACACACACACACACACACACACACAAATCGAAGACAGGCCTTGCTGGGTTTTCCCATCTAGTTTATTAGCAATCACACCTAGACAATAAAGTCTACATAAAACTCTGAAGGACAGGGTTCAGAGAGCTTCCAGATAGCTGGATATGTGGTGATTTCTGTGGAGTGGCAGGTCTAAAGAGGACACGGAAGTGCCACGTGGCCCCTTTCCCACCGTGCATTTTGTCATCTTTTCCTTCGTTGTATCGTTTATGATAAAACAGTAAAACCTCATTCTCATCCTGAGTCCCCTGAGCATCTTGAGCAAATTAATGGGACCTAAGGAGGGAGCCGTGGGGAGCCTGGATTACAGGCAGCCAGTGAGAGCCTGCATAAAACAACCTGCCAATTTCATCTGCCATCTAAGGCAGAAGGGAGGAAATCGTGGGGACTGAGTCCCCAACCTGTGGGATCTGACAGTACCTCCAGCTAGTTAGGGTCAGAACCGAGTTGGAAGAAAGGATACCCCTCCCAGTGGGTGACCCTTGCTGTAGGGCAGCTGTTAAGGAGAGATCTCTGCACCTTTCATGCTCATAGAAACGTTGGTTGTAGTGTGAAAATGGGAGAACAGTCACTTTGTTTCTCTCCCGAGAATGTAGATTAAAACCCAGCTGGCCTTGGTCTCCACGGTACTTAGACACAGTTCTTAAGGGTAGACCCATGAGCTCCTCAGTGATGATGCAGACTGGCTTCGGCAAGTTCAGGGTTTCATGTGACCCTAGGGGATGCTGTGATGTAGGACCTTTGGGAGATGCAGTGATACAGAATGTCATTGCACAATGTCCCA